AAGCTCTAACTGGGGGGAAAAAAAGTTGCCACATATCTGAAAGTGAATATCTTCTCCAAAAGAATTCCTTATTTTTTTAATAAGGATGTATTGGAAGTAATTTCATCAATAATGGAAGATCCAATTACTGGTCTTCTGGATTAAGGCATTCTTTTATTGCAAGATTTTAATGGTAGAGTGGTAAGTTCAAACATTGCCAATGAAATCTCAGACTAATTAAATGATTATAGCCTAAGGGGAAGGGCAACGGAGACTCCACTATTAATCTTACCAAGAATAGCCTCTATGTGTGATGAACGGATGAATATATATACCTTATTTCAGAAGGAAAAAAATATATATAAGGAGTTGTTTTAAAAATGATCAGTTTAATTTCTGAATAAGAAGGAAGGATAACATTGCATTATAAAGTCCTTTCAGCTGCTTGTGGAAGGCATGGACTGCAGTGATGAATTGAACCCAATCAGTTTCATCAGGAGTTCATTTATTCAGATGTTTAGAGGTGGCACAAAAGTAACAGTGACAATAATGATCACCAGTACTTAATGAGAACTCAGTAGGGTCCAGGCATTCTGGCTTGTCTCGCCCTCATTTTACAGATAGGGAAACTAAGGCACAGAAGGTTAGTAACTCAAGAGGTAATTGCAGAGGAGTGTTTGGAATTCTACAGCCTCTCCTTCACTGTTAGCCACCAGCCTCCGAACAGTTCTATTTTCTGTTACCCTGCTCACCTGCTTGTAGGAAACCAGTGGCAGCTCTCAAATGGAAGACGGGTACAGGAATCCAAGGTAGAGGCTGACATCCAAACGTCCTCCAGGAAGCACTGCCTGTTGCCTGGCATGTTGAAATGGGGCTTTCTGCTAAAGGCTGGGACAGCAGTTTCTCCGTGTTTTAAAAGTCTGTTTGGTAGCAGCACCTCTCCACCTGGACAGTAGCTCCCCACTGGACCTCTTCACACCTGTTTCATGCCTACAGGAAAAATGGAGGCACATCTCCTTCAAATTTATTTTTGCTGTGTGTGTGTGTGTGTGTGTGTGTTTTCATGTGTTTGTTCTTTTCATGACACTTTATTTTTCTGGAAGGAGACAAGTGGTGGGTGTCTGAGTATTGTTAGTTCTGAAATGTCAGACTTGACCTTGACATTGCCTTCCACACTATGGGGAAAGCCTCAGGGACCAAGTCAGTCCAGTCCTTCATTTGGGAACAGATGGAATCTTTAAAAGAGCTCTAACATCTTTAAAAATATATAGTTCCACAATATTTCCTTATGAGGCCTTAATATTAAGGGGAAATGTGGCATGTGACATTAAGGGCATTTTCATTATGCCATTTTGAGAATAATTTTTATCAGAACAGATCCTTCTTTTAGCACCCTTGATAATCACATCATTTGTTTTATGAAATTCATGTACGTCGAGTTAATGTTTTTGAGGGAAGAGTAAGTTTTTCTAGATCTTATAGAACATGAACACTGGCTATAGAAGTCCTAGTTTAAAATAAAAATTTTCTTATTCCTTGGCATTTGCAACTAACCTGAGCTGGCCTGGAAGTCATTTAATAGTCATATGCAGATTGCTTTTGTCAGCACTCAGAATGGGACAAGCAAATGCTTGAATTTGGACAAGGTCCATCCTGTGACAAATAACATGTCAACCATTTTCAATATTGCATCAACTACAGATGAAAATGTGGAGTCATATTTTGGGGTGACTTCCATGAGATTAAGTGGCTGAGGTTTTGAATTTGAAAAATGACTCACTTAATAGTATTCCTTGAAGGAGATCTCTACTTTTAGAGGGAGCTTGAAAAACTATGATTTGTGTAAATAGGGAGGCTAGAAATAGAAAATGAATCTTTTCATTACAAAAACCTGTAAATTTTCCAATGTATTGTCAACCTAAACTGAAATTGATGAGAGTAGGAGTAGGAAAGAGGGATTGAATGGACAGCAGTTTCTCCATGCTTTAAAAGTCTGTTTGGTAGCAGTACCTCTCCATCTGGACAGTAGCTTCCCACTGGAGCTATTATTGTACTGCACAAAATTTTTGCATAATAAGGAACTTTTATTCCAAATATTTTTTTTAATTTAACACTGATGCTGAGCAATAGACATAATAATCCTTCCCACAGCTGGTATCTTTGACCTACGGTCAAAGCCCTCCAACATATAAGGACATGTGGGACCCTGGTGAAGGTTCATGTCACAGTACCCTTTCACTTGGAGATAATTAAATGTGTTCATTGTACCTATAAGTCCTTATAAGGATCTTCCTGGTTGGGGTTCTTCTTTCCAATGTCAATCTCTCTTCCACAACTACTTCCTGGCTCCATAGGAATAAATCAAATTTTTTTTCCAGGCCAGAAAAATCCCTGAGTTCAACCTTGGACTCAATCTCTCTTTTTGCTTTTAAATTTACTAGGTATTACCTCCAATAGCACTGGGTTGTAATGTCGCCCAACTTCAGTTAGGGTGCTTCTCATTTGGAACTACTACTTAAATAAAGTGAATTAATCACCAGCTCTATTAATCCTTCAAAATCCATGATTCCGTAATGCTCGGTTTGCTTAGAGTGATTCACTGTATTTGCTCCTTCTCAGACGTGACTTCTTGCTGAGCTTTAGGTTAGTTCCTTTCAGACAATATGCCTTGAATCTTGGATGATTTATTCACTTTCAAGTTCCCTGGAATTTACCACTAAAGGTTGACGTGAATGCTCATAGTTTGGACTCAATATAATCTTCTGAATGGCAATTAATAAATAAAAGATGGTTACTATTGTTGACAGAGGATCCCAGCTTTCTCAGTTTTTCTCTTCATGTTTTAGCCAAACTTCATGTCAGACACCCCTAGGGGTGATGGTAGAAAATATTTTTCGTTAATGCCAGTGCTTTTTTTGTTATCTCAGTACCTCCAAACTCCGATGTTGCCCTGTATTTTCTTGTCAGAAATGATCTTATTCACTTTCTGCTTCTTCAATTCACCCTCTTTCCTGTGAATACGAGAAACATAGCTCTTTCTGGATTTAAGAGCAACATTTCCTTAATATTTGTGCTGCAAGTAACACCTGAAAGATGTCCCCAAAATTTCTTAGGTTTTTGTTTTCTTTGCTTGGTCTCATTTCTGTCACGTATCGAATACGCAGTGTCACCTCTAAAATGTAGTGTTCATCGTCACTGTGTATATTATTCAAAGTGTGAAGTTGCCTCCTGGAAGTTCATGACATAACCATAAAGCAGTATCCAATTTTTGTAGTTTGCCTGCTTGACTAGGCTCCAGAGATAATCTAGGCTATCATTCTCATTTTAGAAGTGAAGAAAATGTAGTCCAATTTAAGTAGTTTCACCATAATCAGGTAGAGAGCAGAGACCGAACCCACCTTTAGGAAGTGAGGCACTTGATACCTAACAGAACAGCAGGAGTTTGGCTGCCTTTGGTCAGTTCCCAGTTGGGATGCTTATAAAGTGTTGCTTGAGGAAGTTATTTCAGTTTTCTCATCTGTAAAATGCTGACAGTTTTGCCAGTAGCAAAACTGTAAGAATTATCGAAATTTAATATAAGTGAAGCACTCATCTAGGGCTTGGCACATACTAAGGAGTCCATGCCTTGTTAGTTATCAGCATTATTGTCATTATTTTGACTACAGATATAAGAGTGTGTATTGTATTTGACTTTGCATGGATATATATATATATATATATATATATATATATGCATTAGACCTTTGCTGTACCTCTTTTGTATTCCTGTGTTACCTAATGCAATGTTAGGCAACTAATAGTTGTGTTCATGTTAGTATTGGTAGTAGAAGCAAAAATAGTGATGATAGTAATGAAAGGTAGTACTGTTTATTGAGCCTTATGATGTATTAGGCATCAAAAGTAGGCACTTTATGTACATAATTCATAATAGGTGCTCAATCCATATTTATTGGAAAACTGCACTGTAGTTTGTTTCTAGAAATGCAAGCGTACCCTCTTGATGACAATAATCTCCCTCGTAACTGGAGGGGAACATGAGCTTTGGCCCAGGTGAACAGCTCTGAGTATAGAAATGAGAGCCTTGATGGGATTCCTTTCATCCTTAAAGTAATCCTTGAGCTGCTATATTTATATCATCTAATCTTGTTATTGGTAATTGGAAGACTGGATGGGAGTGGGAAAGGAGGTCAAGAAATAGAGTAGAAGGGAGCAGGTGCAGAGTGGGACAAATTATACAAATGAACAATAGTATATATCCCAAAACAGACGATTAAAGTTAAGTCATGTTTTATTTTCTCTGTTTTTTAATTTTATATTATATAAAAATACTGCCCCTTTCCTAGTTCCCAAATAGAAATACATTTGGAACAATAGTATGGACGCAGAAAAGTTGTTTCCTTTCTTATTTTGCTTTATTTATTTACAGACTGACTAAATTACATTGATAGCCACTAGGGAAAGGTAAAGCGTTCAATCACAAAAATTACAATTGCTAATGTTCCTTGATTTGCAGACACAATATGTTCCTTAATGATCATATAAAATAACTATGGTAATAATAAGAGATACTGTGTGTGAGAGTGCCTGGAGTGGATACCAATAGAGAAGCACTCCTCAGGTCAGGTATTGTGTATGTGTATCTGGCAGTGTATGTGTGCACACACATATTGTATGTATGTACCACCATGCATTTAATCTCTGTGCATAGTAACAGCCTTTCAAATTCACATATGTGTGCATTGATAGACATGCAAAACAATTTCTATGTATAATATAGATGTAAGTATTCTCAAATCTTAACCACCACTTTAGAAAAAGAAATTGTGGCTCAGACTAGTCTAACCACTTATTCAAGTTCATAAAAAAAAAGTGGCAAAGCTGGAATTGGAACCCAACCCCTACTCCTCTAACCCTGCTTTTTGAAGAAACCCAAACAGAAATTTCCTTGGAACTACAGTATTTCCATGATACCACACTGTCCCAGTATGGGAAGGGTGACCTTTTCCCCCTTTCTTTTACAGAATCTCCAAGCAAAGATTTTGGTCCAACTCTGGGCTTAAAAAAGTCCAGTTCCTTGGAGAGCCTGCAGACAGCTGTGGCTGAAGTCAGGAAAAACGAACTCCCCTTTCACAGGCCCCGGCCACACATGGTTCGCGGCCGTGGCTGCAACGAGAGCTTCCGAGCTGCCATTGACAAATCTTATGATGGACCCGAAGAATTAGAAGCTGGTAGGCCAATATGCTCCCTTAAGTGGTTTTTGCATCTCATTATCATCTGCAAATCATAGGCAAGAGTGTGCATTTAACTACAGAGAAAAATGATTTAAGGGTTACAATTATATTTTTGATATTAAAAGTAATTCATTTTCCTGATATGTTTTGCCCTTTGGCTTAACGAACATGGAATTGGAGAACGCAATATGCAATTTATTTTACAGTGCAAATGGTAAAGAAATGTTCTCCTCCGCTTTCCTACAAGGACCAACTGTCATTTACCCTTAGGGTAGGAGTACTAAGTGTGCATTTCTTGACATTCTTATTTGAGTCATTAAAAGCAGCATCAACCCAGGACTGACTGCATTAATTGAGTAGAAGCAGTTGGGTAATATTTGTACTCAAAAACCTCTCCTGGAAGTCGCTAGCCCTGTTTGTTTCCCAGCAGGTGGGCTTTCTGAGCTGATCAAGGTTAACAAGCCAGCTTTCAGAAAGATTAGTGTTTTAGCACATTCAGGCCTTTCATAGGACTGGCTAAGCAACCAATGGACCCCCTCCCAGCCTCCTACCTTGCTTGAAGTAACCAGATTTAGGCAGTCTGTCTTCAAAGGGTACAAGTCCCCACATGCAAGGGTAGAACTCGCAGCACTTCTATTCATTCTTCTGTATTTTACATTTTGACTTTTCTTTATATACTAACCGTATGTGCCCCTGACCACGTGTATTGATTTTCTTTCTTTCTTTCTCTGTACAGACGGTCTGTCCGATAAGAGCTCTCACTCGGGCCAAGGAGCTCTGAATTGTGAATCTGCCCCTCAGGGGAACTCTGAGCTAGAGGACGTGGAAAATAAAGCCAGGAAGGTAAAAAAAATGAAAGAAAAGGAGAAGAAAAAGGAAAAGGGCAAATTGAAAGTCAAGGAGAAAAAGCGCAAAGAGGAAAATGAAGACCCAGAAAGGAAAATAAAGAGGAAGGGATTTGGTGCCATGCTGAGGTACGGGGCTGCTTTGAAGGCAGAGTTGCTTTTGTTTTGCTTAAAATCACTCCTTTGTGTGCATTCAGAAACAAAGTGCAAGCTTTCCCTCATCTCCAGCTAAATACATAAAAAATCAAAACTGTGAATGTGCATGTTGCTTTTCCATAGAGGCTTCTGAGGCTTATAGTGATGACAGAAAACTGTCCCTACGTCCGATGTCAAAGAAAGGCCAATGCTTATTAGGGCACAGGCAATGCTGCAGCTCCATGTAATGGAGCTATCCATCTGCACAGGGAAGCAAGAGCTAGGAGTCCTTACCCATCATCTCCTTTGAATCAGGGTAGTCATGGTTGATGAACCTCATCCCACGGTGACACTAGGTGTATGGATAGCCAGGTCTCCGAGCATGGTATGGTCAGGACCAGAGGCACTGTGATGCAGCCTAGATGTCCCTGGGTTTGAATCCAAATGATCTGAATCCAGGACCCTCCACACACGAGCCACAGGGCTTCACCCACATTGCTTAACTTCTCTGAACCTTACTTTCAGAGTGAGGCTGGCACACCTGCCCTACTAATCCAGTGGGGTTGTGACAAGATTTCATATGCAGTGAGTTCTGTGGCTAGGCATGGCTCAGCAGGGCACAGTCAGAAAACACTTTTATTTCTTTTCCTATGGCTATTTTCAAAAATACCCTGTGGGGCTGTCTTCTCCACGTCTTGACTTCTCCGCTTTCTTGCCGATAGTTTTATGGTCACTTTCAGATAATAAAACAACGTCTTTGTCAGGGACTCGAACAACCAGTCCAATATAAACTGAAATTTTCCTCCTCTTTGCCCCTTGGACCTTGACCCCAAGAGATGACCCACAGTGTGGTGGGAGGTGGGATTCACCTTCTCCTCCCTGTCAGTCTCTGTGACCAGGGGAAGGAGAAAGACGATATTAAACAAGAGTGAATTTTACTTAAGTTTTGTCCCTGGCCATCTGTGGCTTTTTATGGGCCACTTATGTGGATTGTTCAGGAAGCTCCTTACTATACCAGTTGCTGACTTCCCAAGGACCCCTTACACTTGCCACTGACCTCAGACAGTCAACCCCTGGCATCTCCTAACCCCAGCTGATAGACTTCTTAGACAGTGGCAATTTGAGATGGCTCAAACCAAATTGAAGTAGCATCTGCTTGGCCCACAAGAACCACTGCCTTCTCAACCACCAGATATTGCAAGAACAGCTTGTTCCTATGGCTCTCCTTTCTCCTCACTCCAACACGTTTCCAACCAGCCTCACATCTGCAGACCTCTCCAGAGCAAGTCAAGCTCCTGTCTTGGGTCTCCCCACCTACAACTTGATGTCAGCCTCTGTCAAGAATGATCTCATACCTGGGGGAAAGTCATTTTTGCAAGTCACAGTGAAACTCTGGGGATTTTCTTGTAGTCCCTTGCTTATTTTGTTGGGGTGAAAAGTAGAAGTACCCCCTTTCCATTGCTTTTTTTCCTCCTTTAATTTCTTATCAATTAATGTCTATACTTCTCTTGCATGAACTAAGGTGAATGATAGTATATAATAGTTGGTAAGCCAGATCGGTCACCTCTTATGAAATCCTTAAGCGATATCTCTCTTAAAAATTGCAGTTGTTGGGCTGGGGATGTGGCTCAAGTGGTAGTGCACTCACCTAGCATGCGAGAGGCACTGGGTTCGATGCTCAGCACCACATAAAAATGAAAAAAAGATATTGTGTCCACCTAAAACTAAAAAAATAAATATTTTTTTTCTAAAAATTGCAGTTGTTAGTGGAGTGTGGTGGTGCAAGCCTGTAATCCCAGCTACTCTGCAGCTGAGGCAGGAGAATCATGAGTTCAAAGCCAGCCTCAGCAAAAACAAAACACTAAGCAACTCAGTGAGACCCTGTCTCTAAATAAAATACAAAATAGGGCTGGGGATGTGGCTCAGTGTTTGAGTGCCCCTGAATTCAATCCCTGTTACCAAAAAACATAAAAAAGTTGCAATTGTCATATGGTACCAGATGTTTTCAGTTAGAGATCTTCAACTGACATTTTTAAACAGACAGGGAAGTTTCTCCCTCCCTCTCTCCTCCTTTCTTTTCTACCCCCTCCCCCCCTCCTCTCTCCAATCCTACCCTGTGTGTGTGTGTGTGTTTGTGTGTAAAAGTGTTAAGTGAACTTTAAGGGACACAAATGATACTGACAGCTCTGGGTCTTCCCATTACATTCCCAGTGCTCATAGAATGCTATTCCGGTGTCCTCCTGCTCAAAATATGCTGTGGTCCTGCTCGCACCTGGACTGAGGTCACTCCAGGAGGTCTGATTATCCATCTGATTATCAAAGAAAAAAATTTCAACAAATTGAGTTTCAAAGATCAAATTGGACCTTATTACCAACTCATGCATTGGGCAGCATTCTCACGGCAGAACTGAAAGGCACTTGTGTGAGCTGAGCAGAGGTGTGAGTTTTAACAACAGGAAAAACCTGAGAAAAGCAAAAACAAGAAATAAAAACTGAGTTGGTCATTTCAAAATTATTTTCCTTATAGGGTTTCAGCAGAGACTTCCTCATCACCCTGCTCACGATGAATAAACGTGTTTTGATGGGTTTCCGTGATCTCCCATTTGTTTTTGTTGGTGGTGGTGGGTTGATTGGTTGGTTTGGTTTTGTTTTTAAACTGGCCCATTTCTGAATTCATTTGGATCATGTGATTCCTAGTCTTTTGTAGCTCAGTGCAGAAACTCAGCCCAAAACAATGGCCTCCATTTTACTTTGAATGACCTATATCCCAATTTATACATAGGCATTAGTTTATTTTTCCTAGTGGTCTCTGTAGATTCAGTCTCTCCTTTTGCCACCTTGAATTTAAAATTTTCTCTTATTCTGAGTAATTATTATGGTTTTACTAAGTTATGGACTATGACTAAAGCCTCTTGGCGATTATTATAACCTGCAACTGCAGTATATTTAGACTCTGCATGTAGACTTCTGAGTTCAATCCTGACTCTTCTGTTTTTTGTCTTGGTAATATTGGGCAAATTATTTAACCTCTGTGCCTCAGTTTCCTCATCTGACAATGGAATAATAATAGAATATACCATTATTGTGATAATTACATTTGTTTAATTATATGTAACATAATTATAACTCTGCTAGGTAAGTAATAAACATCTAATAGTAAACATAACAGTGATCCCCTAAAGATGTCCATGTCCTCATCCCAAGTACCTGTGTGTGTGTTATGTTGTATGGCAAAGTAGAATTGAGATTGAAGATGAGATTAAGGCTGCTGATTGACTCACTTTCAGTTGAGGATTATCCTGGGTTTCTTCTGTGAGCCCAATCTAATCACAGGGTCCCTTAAAAGTGCAAGAGGAAGGTATGACTAAGGAAGCAGGTGCAAAGAAATGCAGTGTTACTGGCTGTAAAGATCAATAGAGGAGACAATAAGCCACGCAAGACAGGGGCCTCTAGAAGCTAGACACAGTGAGAAAGTGGATTCTCTCTGGCCAAGCCCTTAATGTTAGTCCATTTTTGTTTTTCAAGTCACTAAATTTGCAGAAATTTCCTACATTATCAATAGAAAACTGGTAAGTTGTTGTTGTTGTTGTTATTATTATTATTATTTTACACTTTCAGTAATTTATAAGGAAAATTTCCTTTTTAATGTATTAAAAACTAAACAAACTAACTTAACTAGAGTGGTATATAAGTATAAAATCTGTTAGGTATTTGCATATTCTACTTCCTAGAATGTTACTAAACTAAACTTTAACTTCATGTTTTGTTTTACATGGTTTGATTTGGCAGATTCATACTTCATTGCTTATAAGAGCCAACTCTTCCCTTTTGTTGTCCAATATTCTCTATATTTTCATGTAGGAGAAATTTCTAAAGGATCCAGCACCTGTGGAACCTTTAGACATCTAGCACCTTGGGTTTTATTTCCTTCCACTATTTTAGCAAAATTAAGATCTGAAAGGTGATGTTTGATTTTATCTTCAGTATAAAAATAGCAACTGTTTTCCATAGCCTTTTGCATGTGAGTTTGTGAGCATATTGGAATTGCTGCTACATGCACATTTTCAACAACAAAGAACACAAAGGCTGTTACCATTAGCCAACAGATTTTGCTTTAATTCTCATCTGTTGCTCAGATGCTATTGACTGACTTTCTTTCTTATTTAAAAAAGATTGATTGCTGTAAGGTTCTCTTGGAGTTAGATGTGACTTAAATATGCATTATTTTTCCATTATCTGCGTTTCTCATACACACACCTGAAGATTTTGGTGGTGTTCTGCAGTTGTACGGTGTATAGGTGCCCCTGGCCAAAGGGATAAGTAAAGACATCAATTCTTCCTCCCTCTCCTTACCAAACCATGAATCACCAGAGTGTCAGTGTGTGAGCAGTAGCCTTGTACTTTCTTCTAAAAAGCCACGGTGTGTGCTTTGAGGATTATTAGCTGGTCTGTTCATGTGGGTTACATATAGCAGTCCATTCTATCTCACTTGTTAATTCAGCCTATTTCTGATCCTGTTGAAAAAGCATGAGGGATCTCTGTCATTCACATCTTTCTATATGTCACCTCGTTCCAGTATTTGCTGGTTTCAACCAATCTCCTTCCACAATTCAAGTGTAGCTCTTATACAAGAAATGGATTATTGTGAGAAAATATGCAGTTCAAGAACCTGTCTGCTTTTGTAGTTCCCCGTATGCCCTGTTACTGCCACTAAAAGATCATTTCAGTGGGTCAAGAGGCTCATATCTTTCTATTGTGTGTTTGACTTCCTTGGGCATTATGCTCTTTGTGGCACCATGCTGCAAAAAGGCCACACAGCTTCCACAGCCAGACTGCAACACTCAGACCCCTTCAACAGACGAGCTCATTGTATCCATCCATGGCCACCATCTTGGAGCCCAGAAGATGTTTCAGTGCCCAGGCACTGAGGATAAATGTCTTTAGGCTAAAAAATAATCTTGCCTATCTTGAGTAGAAACCTAGAGATCAGTCCT